ATCGGTTGAATTTCAACCGCTGGGCGAACACTAGTAATAATAAATTAATAAAGATATAACATTGAGCTACGCAGGTAGGATATGTTTTTTATAGATACTTTATAAATTTTTTTAAATGGTAGTAAGTCTAATACGCACGGTAGTACCAAGGAGGATTAAGGTAACACATTCCGGTGCAATTCGAATTTTTGAATTTATCTATGCTAATGTGTGCACTCACCTATAAATGTCATCCATTTGCGCACACATGTCGCCTTATTCACATCGCGTTTAATTATAAAGTCAGATATTGTCCCAAATAAAAGCGAAGCAAACCAAAATAATAAGAATGGAATCGAAGAGTATATGCCAGTTTTGAGTATTTGCAATTGTAAAACATCATTCAAGAATTTCGGGAAACAAGTGGACATTACATAAAAGCCCCAATCGTGTCCGATCTGGGCGCAAATGTGTACCCACATTGCTTTGCTTTTGAAGACGGTCAACCAAGGGAAAGCTGGTAAATTATGATCACGTCCAAGTCGACCCATATGTTGCATAAGATAATCCTTCTCTTTGTCTCCTAAATACGGATGCGATTCTGGGTCACTATAGCACAATAATATCTGTAGTAAATTTGTTTTTTTTTTTAATTGCATTTTAGTTTTAAGATTTCTAACTTCCAACGCATCACTTACAAAAAACAATATCCACAAAGCGGCGAAAAATCCAAATGTATAAAATACCCATGGCCATGTTGTATAACGCAAAATAGTTCCCGACACACTATTACTTAACACCGTACCCATTTGGCCACCGCCCATTATAAATGCACCAAGCAAATTACGCTCATGTGTGGGTACCCAATGGGCCAAAAGAGCACTGAATGATGGATATGAGAAGCCGGCGCCAAAACCCATTATAGCACGTAAAATGATTAAGGCAACCGGTCCAAGTAATTGAATGCACAATGGTGTAAATATTGTTAGTATGGTAGCTGTGGACATTCCACATACCAGCACCCATTTTGCGCCGTATTTTTCGGATAGCAAACCAGCAGGTAAATGCCCCAAAATGTAGCCAATATAAAAAGCGCCAAGTATGTAACCTTGCATTTCCTGTGACCAGTCATATTCACCGCCAGCCAGCTGCAGGTGGTTTTAGAAAATAGGTATGTTAAATGAGTTCTTTTTGTGATTTAAAAAAAGTGCTAGAATTTTCTAACTTTCTCTTCCTCTTCGGTTAATTCAGGTTTTGGGCAGACCTCTCCACTAGCCGCGGTTTCATTTGAATAAGTTCGTTTTAAAACCAAACGGGTGATTGTAACGGAAATACAACTGCGTAGCGTATAATTATTGATTATGGAAAAGAATCCCATTATGGACATGATAACACGCTGTGGTATTGGGACAACTGCAAAGAGAGAAGAGCGCTTGTATGGCAAACGAGATGGTTTTTTTTTCGTCATTGGAGCAACTTACATTTGGACAATTTTTTGCCCCATTCTGGACGTTTATCCTCTGCGTCAGTCATTTAGTAGCTGTTTTTTTATAATTGAAATTAATGGAGTTTGGTTTTATAAAATTTTATAATTTTTTTTTCGTTTTCATTGGTTATGCCAATTTTTAATTGACGCACGAAGTTCGAAAAAATACAAAACTGAATTGACAAAATAAAAAAAAACACCTAAAAATTAATAGGTCTATTAAAAAGGTAACCTAGTAGTAACATAAGCCAGTTTTAGTACAAAAAACTACAATTTTTTTCTGGTTAAAAATACAAAAACGACACTCAGCTTCTATTTGATTTAATTTAATTTTCATTTTATTTATTTCTTAAAGCTTTATTAAGCATAGCTTATACCAGGTTTCAACCCTCGCCAGTCTCGTATGGAAGTTAAAGGCGCATTAAAATCCTAAAAGACAAAGCAAAACCACTTTGAGCAATGGTGGATGTGGAAGCCGACTCTCAATGTTGGCACTTCTATTGGGGTCAACCCGTTGCCATCGAGGCAAAATTATTGCCGTGTACGAACGGCCCGCACGGCTGGCTCAACAACTCGACTTACATATACCGTTCCCACGACAGTTGAATCTACGTAACCGGAACGACACAAATTTATATCTGGCCCGGGACTGTCACTCCAGCATCATTTCCCAAAATACAAAATAATAAAAACACGACTTGTACCTTCGAGTCACTTTATAGCACCAAAAGCAGCCTCCAACCCAGACGGGGGAGGAACCTCCCGAAAACATATTTATTAAATACTGCAATTTACCTTTTAAATACATATTTATTAAATAATAACTAAAGACTGATCTATTCATTTTTATCTGACTCCGTTGAGTGTATCGAAAGGTTGTACATCGCCTGAAATTAGCAACGTAGAAACTAACCAAATAAGCGCAGGGAACACTTTGAATTGTGGCTGAAAAAAGATGAGTAAATTATCTAAATTATCATACAATTGTTTATAAAAAAATTACCCAACGCCTTAACGAATCCTTCAAAAATGGCGCTACAACGCCCGTCAAGGAACCAATGCCATTCGCAATACCCATTAGAGTAGCAGCAAAATTCGGACTCATATCCAATGGCGTCAATTTAATGCCAGCATAATAACTGCCCAACACATTTATGGCACAATTGCTAAAGGCAAATAAATCCGCCTTCTCACTGCAGCTCAAGCAAGGGAGTAGGCGGCTATTGTATAGGTTAGGGGCCACTGCCACTGTTAGTGGAGGTGAAAGAGATGAAAAACAGATAAATATAATTTCTACTCTAAATTTAACTGATACTTTTAAATTCCTACTAAATTCACTTTGTTTTAATTATAGAAAAATTCAAAGAACCTACCAGCAAAGGTCATAATTTTGCGCATAACCGTCACCGCGAAAATATCTCATAGTCTACAAGCAGATCCGCAAGCACACCGGAAATCACCGACAACAGCCAATTCATAACGTACGGCAATTGATTCTGCAATCCACTGATCAAACTTTCGGTTAGCGGCAGCTGCTTGGCGTCCTTTATGAACTGCGGCACCTCAGCGGCATGTTGTAGTTGTGTCCAATCGTATTGCAGAGTAGCCGAAATCATCGCCCACATAGGTAAATTTTTAAATATGGCCTTCCATGGAATTTTTTTTAACACTTTGCTGACGCCTCCTTACTGTACCAATTTCTTTTTGCAGATATTGTTTTTCCGTTTCCCGTGCAAATGGGCTTTCCTCTGGTGCATTGTAGCACAAAGAAGTCTGTGTAGATGAAATTACATATTGAATTTTATTTTGTAAGGCGATCGCATTAAATGATGCACTTACGAAAGCAACGAACCAGAGCAAAGCGCATATACCAAAGTAGTAGAAAATCAATATCCAATCGTAGCGATGCAAAACAGCAAACCGGAAATGAAATTACCCATTGAAATGCCAATTTGACTGGCACTCAAAACGAGTGAACCCAGCGTTGCGCGTTCC